CCATGTCGCCACAGTCCTACAGTGAAGCTGTGCAAAGTCAGCCAAGTGGATGTGGCTCCACCCCTGTTAACACGACTAGGTTAACAGATCCGAGTGGGAAAATTGCACTAAGTGAGAACTGCATAACACCCATCCCCATGGTAGACCATGAAACAAATAGGAAGGCCAAAAAGAAACGTTCACGACGTCGCAAGACGACAAGAACGCTCCCCAAGAAGGCAGACGACTGCAAGGTCTGCGCTTCTGTTGTCGAACAAGCAGACTCTGCTTTCGAATGTAACTTTTGCAAGCGATGGGTGCATTGCAGATGCGACAATGGGGTACCAAAAGCATATTATGACTTTATGCGTAAAAACCCATGCCAATGGTTCTGGTACATATGCCCGAGTTGCCGTCCTGATGTAGCCTCGCGTAGTCCTTTGAAAACTAAAGATGGCACAAAAGTAGCGGGGAAAAAGGTGAAATGCTCGACCCCCACCAATCCGGAAATTAGTACAAACGCGCGTAAACCGGGGATACCAAAATCCTCACCGGTTAAACTTGTAACTCTTGACATAACCGCTCCAGACACAGAGGCTGGAGAACCACGGGTTTCCGTCGTTGGAAAAAGACCCCAACCGTCTGCCAGTAATACTGGCCATAGCACTGAGACACACAAAAATACCCAGTCGCACCAGACAAACCAAAACGGTCTTAAAGGTGATCACAAATGTGCGAGGACCGAGCCCAAGCCCACGGTTAGCAGATCAAATTGTGTAATCCTCTTTAATGTACCAGACTGTAGCAGTAGTCTGCTGAAAGATAGGGCCCTATTTGATCAGGAACAGTGGTCCATCTTAAGTAGCACACTGGGTTTGGACATCCAACCAGTAAATCTATGCAGATTGTATAGGGGCACTGCTGCACCTGAAGGCAAACCATCCCCACTGAGGGTAACATTGGGCTCTACCGAGGATGTTGAAAAAGTGTTACTGGCTTCTCAAGTCCTTTCTATAGGGAGGGCCTGTAACATACGTGTTAAGCCAGACAGGCCGTGGAAGGAAAGACAAATGGCGAGGGAGTCGCCAGAGCTCATTCCTTCTGCCTCCATGGTTGTGCATGGCATTCCCGAACTGGTAACTGGGAACGCCTGCGAAAAGCATTGTCATGATGTACAACAATGGAGATGGTTAGCATCCCAGATGGCCCTGGGGAGTTCAGGGGCTGTCTCTATTTATAGACTGCCTCGACCCACTCATCTTATGTCAATTAACTCGCCACGTCTGTTAGCTGTCAAGTTCAGCTCCCAAGACCAGTTGACTACCGCTCTCCATAGATGGTACGAGACCAAGGACAAGGTCAGCAAACACATTCGCTGCTGCGAGAGCCGGCCTCGCACTCAAAGGAGAGAACAAAGCGTAGTAAAAAAAATCCTCAACCCCTAGTCACACTACAGCGGTGCAGCACGGACGATGATAGCCAGTGTCATCCGAGTGCTCCAACTGAACTAGAAGAAAAAAACGCCAACAGGCCGGTTCCTGGGGAATCGGCCAACTAGTTCGTAGGATAACTCCTCAACCGATAGCCAATATCAAGTCAACTACCCCCCAATACGGGGAAGTGGTGAGACTGACTACCAGTTGCCTGTATAGTAATGTGAGAGGGCTAAGAGGCAAAATAGCTGAACTTAGACACCTACAATCACAACTAAACTCCAAAATCATAATACTGACGGAAACCTGGCTAACCCCTACGGTGGCAGACAGCGAAGTCAGTATAAATGATATGGTCCTAGTCAGGCGAGATAGGGACCTGAAAGAAGGAGGTGGAGTCGCCATATACGTCGACAAACAGCTCAGATGTGTTCACGCGACGGACCCTCCCCTCACAGAGCTCCCTGACTCCATATGGTGCCACTTCACCGTTGGGTACTGCAAATATCTAGTGGGCAGCATTTATCGATCACCTTCATGTGGAGCAGACCACAACCAGGTACTGCTAAATACAATCTCAGCAACTCAAGACATGGGTTATGATCAAATTGTCATAGCTGGTGACTTCAATGCCCCATCTCTTAACTTGGTGTCGGGAAAAGCCCATGATAGATTTGATCGAAATCTGCTGCATACCATCAGGAAGGCTGGATTCACTGAAAATGTCAAGATGGATACTAGATGGGGCCCTGATGGGAAGTCTTCTAGACTGGATTACGTGCTCACTAGTGACCAGCTACTAGTGGAAAACGTTCAGATCACGACTCCCATAGGTAGTAGTGACCACGCGGTCATAGTATTCGACATAGTCCTCCGCGAGCGCTTACAGTGGGACAATACACAGCCCTATCTGTGTTATAACAAAGCCAACTACACCAAAATGCGAAGACTTCTGTCTGAAGCAAACTGGCCTAAAAAATGGACAGAGCTAACAGTAGAAGAACACTGGAGAGTGGTAAAGGAGATCATTCACCAGGCGGTCTCAGACACTGTTCCTTTAGTCTCACCAAAAGCTAGGAAGCAACGATCATGGCTAAAAAGGGGACACAACGCCTTCTGCAGGCAAAGCGAAAAGCCTGGTTTGCGTGGCGACGATCGAAGAGTCAACCCGAACATGAAGTGTACCTTGAACTCAGGAATCGATGTAACATACGAGTCCGGAGCGATAGAAGGACATTTCAGGGAGACCTCGCCAATAAGCTTCTCGTGAACCCCAAAAGCCTATACAGGTTTATGCCGAAAGAAAACCGACCAACCAGGGAGCATGCAATCTAGTGGGTTCTGATGGGAAATCTCTTACTAGTCTTGAAATGGCAGAGACATTCAGCCTAGCCTTTCACAGGCAACTAAACAGTAACGAGGATATTACCCCCACAGAACATCCAGATTACATCGCAAACCAACACACGAAAACCTGCTGGGTACATTTCAAATTACCCCGGCTATGGTACTTGCAAAATTGGGAAGGTTGGCTTCGGGAAAGTCTCAGGTTGTGATGGCATCAGACCATCTGTCCTGAAGCAGTGTTCAGAAAGTCTCTGCCAACCCCTAAGTGATCTGTTCCAACACTCCCTTGATGTAGGGAAACTTCCATGTGAATGGAAACGTGCAATCCTATCCCCTATCTTCAAGGGTGGTGACCGGCAGAATGTGACCAGTTACAGACCAGTTGCTCTACTTCCAGTGTATCGAAGATATTGGAAAGTCTCATTGACGACCACATGAGAAAATACTTCGATGGGACTAACCTTCTTCACGAAGCACAGCACGGTTTCAGGACGAATCTTCTACTAGCTTGGAACGATTGGACACTATCCTGGGACAAAAAGGTACCAGCCCACGTGATCTTTCTCGACTTTGCGAAAGCATTCGACACAGTTCACCATGGTCTGCTCCTTCACAAAATAAGCAAGGCGGGTGTTTCTGGAGCACTTCTCGCATGGCTGAAAGATTACTTAGGCGAGAGAGAATTCTGCACCAAAGTCAACCGCATCCGATCATCCTGGCACACCTCGGCATCAGGGGTTCCTCAGGGTTCTATCCTAGGGCCGTTGATGTTTTTGATTTTTATCAACGACCTGCCCCCCAACTAAACTGCTCTGCGCTTCTTTACGCTGACGACGTAAAGATTTGGAGAGCAATAAACTCATCGGAAGACTCAGATAGATTGCAGGCTGACCTGCAAACTCTGGGAAACTGGGCTTTGGCTAACGGAATGCCTTTCAACCTAAAGAAGTGCAAAGTAGTGCAACTTCATTCCGGCAGGTCACAGAGTGTAAATTACACCCTTGGTGGCCAGAACTTGAGTTGTGTTCCATCAGAGCGTGATCTAGGTCTTATTCTAACAGAAAAGCTAGACACCAGTGGAAATTACTCGAGGGACGTCGCCAAAGCCTACGCAACATTACACTTTATGCACAGGCAGCTGGGAGCTCTCACTCCCGAACTGTTCTTAAGGTTATATAAGGCATATGTGAGGCCACACCTTGAGGTGCATAATATCATTGCACCTCCGCTACTCAAAAGGGATGCTAACATTCTAGAAAGTGTCCAGAGACGAGCGACAAAATGGGTGATCGGCCTCCGCAACAAATCATATGAGGAAAGACTAAAGAAATTAGGTCTTTTCACACTTAGTTACCGTAGGCACAGGGGAGACCTCATCACCGTCTACCAGATCCTAAATGACCAGGCCCACCCAAATAAAAGCATCCTGCCATTAAGTGATTATAGGCTTCCACGAGGTAACCCGCTAAGGATAGCACACCAGAGACCAAAGACTCGAGTGCGATCACATTTCTTTTCGCTTCGTGTTTGCCGTCTCTGGAACGCTTTACCGGCGGCCGTGACTACAGCGCCATCTCTGGAGATTTTTAAGCGGAAGCTAGACAATCATGCAGAAATGCAAGGTTTGTGTCTCAATGGCTTATCCTCATAAAACTTGAAACCACACTGTCAATGGATAAGCGTACAAACTAAATCCCCACGACCTATTCTGCCTTCTCTCACTCTATCTTTTCCTTAGGTCACCTTTATTATTCCACTTATCTCAACCTATATTATCTACACTACAACCTATTATTATTACTATTCTGCTTTTATGACTACACCGAATGACCAAGGGAGTTAGGTCAAACTCCATTCACGGCAGCAATACAGTCCTAACATACTGCATACTACAAACCACATCTCGACCAATCCCCGCACCACTCCTCCTGGAGTCTACCAGAGCTAAAGCAGTCGAGTGGCGGGACTTACTACGCAGAAGCTCACCGAAGATCTGGAACCTCTACCTCACAATCAAGAAGCGAGCTCAAAGAAATCACTGGTTTATACTAGCTCGTAATCAGGATATTGGATGAAAGTTGGCTACATGTTTTCCCCCTTCGAGTCAACCCGTTGTTAAAGCTGAACTTAAATACTATATTTGGGTAACATTTGGTGCGTTATTCGTGCACAGCATCCATAGTTTTGCCTAAATACCAAGGTTTATTCCGGGACATCAGAAAGGCATTGGATATTGGATAAATGACAGCGGTTTTCTTGTTTACAACATTTCACCTGAAGGTCGTTTGATTCGATAGGCTTTTCATTCTTTTTCTAAACTAGGGAATTGGGTTATTATAATATTGACGTTTATATTGCGATAATAGTTTGGGCTTCCAGGTCTCACGAAGCGCATTTTCTAATCTGAATTGTAATTAGTATAAAATTCATGCTCACTCTCAAATTCTTAACTAATTTTATATGATCAGTAAATTCTGAAGTGGTTTGAATATGCGAATGAACTGGAACTCAGCGCTGGTTTTCAGCATCACCGGCACTAATCTAGCATCTTGTGCTTTTTATAGGCAAATTCAGAAGTAACGCAGGATATAGGATGTCTGCTGATTATATTTTCATCATTTATGTGTAGAAGGACGTACTTACATAACCAACACTGCTTCATTTCATGATTTTTATCTCCCTAGAAATGAAAATTAATGTTGTAATTACTAAATGTTTATTAAACCATGAATTTTAAAAGTAGGCGTTCTACAGTAATACCTGACTTCCTTTTTTCAGGATACGCCTCTAGACACAATCTTATTGTAAAAATAAGATTTCGTGGTTTTATCCCTAATGTTGCCAAACTTTGTTGTCGACAGTTGGTGGGAGGACTCCTTAATTACAGCCACTGAAATAAATATTTCACAAATGAACCTTACAAGGTTTTATAGAAGCCGTAGGGCACAATGCTGGACTTATTTATAGTCCCCTGAAAAGTAAATTTCAAGCCCACTGCAGGTTTGAGAACAGTTAACGTCATGACTTTCAGTGAAAACTCTGAATCACCCCGAAGGCAGCTAACCATTTTAGCTGTCTGCAAAAAATTAGAATTAAGTACTCGAACTCATATCCTCTTATACTTATCGTCTCTTAAAGATGCTTCTAGTATCTCTAAGTAATCTTCATTCGTGATCGGAAACCCCAGTGGGTAGTCTTCGTTTGCCTAAAGGTTGGTTTGCAGTTAATGGTAACAATGTTCAGGATTTTTGTACACAAGTCGATGATTTCCATCGGCGATTCTTGAAATAAATAATTATTTATAAGTACTTGCCAAGCCCTTTCCGCTGAAGAATCAACATCTCATTGCCAGCTTCGATAGAGGACAATCTAAAGCAAGTGTACAGACTTTCACATTTATTAATACTGGTTAGGCACAGATGTCGTCTTTTTGCCAACAGGAGATGAACTGAAGTTCTGGGTTGTTGGAAGTACTTAAAATGAATGGCATTTGGTTAAGTTGATACCTTGGAATCGGGGTGGCAAAGCCATTAAATATGTTGAAAATTGGATATTGTGGTTTTATGCAACCAACTTCGCTGGCACATACATCAATATTCATTGAGTTGTAAAGAAAGTCTTCGTCAGTCTTCTTTGCATCCCTAAAAAGTATGTAAGACAGAAAACTGTAATTACCTTTTCGGTCTGTTACTAGGCAAAGTATCGTCGTTAGTGTCTACATTTTTGTCGTGACCACAGCTTGTTCAAAGCTCTATAGACTTTTGACAATTCTCAAACGTATCTAGAAAAGTGACAATAGAAGTATTTCAAATTACCGTGTTCCTAAAGTTGGTGGAATTCAAATAATGACCATCCATCCCCAGTAAACACAGGTTCTAAATGGTTTACAGCACTGTTGCATGCACACAAACCACTTCGCACTAACAAATGTTTGGGATAGCGACTACACTGTCGTCTTTCACCAAACGAACGACGAGAAATCTAACTACTATTGAATTCTGCAAAATGAAATATAACGAATTAGAAGTATGGCAGTTTTACAGTAATATGTATTAGGTTGCTGAGTAAAACTTAGTAGCATATATATATATATATATATATATAAACCTCGGGAACTCTAAATAAACTGTTTAATGAACTGTAGTATAATCCTAGCCGTTAGACTGCAGTCTAATAGCTAGGATATTCTAGCAGCTGCACGAGTAAGGTTAAAATCCATTTGTATTCATCTTGTTCATGTACCTAGAAAAAAGTTATCTAGTTGCAATAGTGAGACTTAATTGTCTATTTGTGGTATTTTTGACATAGACTCCTTAGTATTTTTATTTTGTTACCAATGGCATATGTCACCTGTACACTTGTCACGTGACAGACACGATTTCTTGAAAGGGCTTTTAAACCTCTCCAAGTTACTGGCTCACTGCTAGTGGTGTCAGAAACAGCTATTTCTGAAAAACTCGTCGGTTGGCTAAATGTTTGCGTTATTTACACTTTGTTATGTCCATTTTGCTTCGACACTAATTAAAACCACTAGTTAATTTTACGTACTGCTTTTAAATTAGTGCACCTCACCCCTGTTCGAGGACAGATTTTGGCCTTTGTGAATCCAGCCAGCCAAATTTATCTTTCAATGAAAGCATAAGTAAGCGTGGGGATACGAAATGACCACATGTTTGAAGCTGACAGCTGTTCAGACTACAAAATAAACGAGACATTATGGTATAACAATGCTAGAAGTCTGCAAAAGTAGTTGAAATCGAAGTGGACTATTTAGTTTGCTAACTAAACTGTCAGCAATTCTCTCCGGTTACCCAGACCATTGACACAAACATACTGTCGCCAGCTACACTAAAGGCTGTCTCATAATGGCAACCAAATTGCTTTAGGTTCATGATGGTAAGACTCGAATTATATATATATATATATATATATATACCAGAAAGGGAGCAGACAACACAAAAAGAAAACTCATCATGTGTCCAAGGGCGCTTGGTGAGATGAATAAGTACGGATAACTATTCACAAATTTCTGCATCTCCAATAAATTGTCCAAACACATGAATATCCAGAAGGCGACGAGGCTTTCACCAGATTGAAAAACGAAAAATTAGATAGACCACTTCAATTTCAAGAAAGTGACGATGCAGACTACTGAACAGAAAGTCGAAAAGAAACGTAAGTTTAGATCATTATGTAGTGCGGTAATGCTTCGTCGCCAAGTTCGAAGCTTTCAAACAACGTGAAGATATATCATAATTCAACTCCGGACACAGAAACTGAAGGACAAAATTACCCAAGAAAACTTAGCTACAGTCAGCAGGAAAAATTAGGAGACAGTGTAGCATCACCTAGAACACCTGCTTGAAGGTACCTTAAAACAGTCTGAAGCGACATGTAAGTAAACCCCTATAAATATCTTGGATAAAAAGGAGTGATTAGGCCAGAAATGGCTCTTTATGGACATCTGGAAGCTAGTAGAGGAGTGGGGATTGATGAAATTAGTCGTACAAGTGAACAACGCAAAGAGTAGATGAGTTCATAGTACAACGCATTGAATGTTCGGGGAAGGATAAAGACCATTTTACTGCACACAAAAAAATGATGGAGAACAGGCTGTTGGTAATAAATACCTCAAAACACTATATCAAATGACTAAGGTCACAGATGAAATCAGTGATAGTGATAGCAACCGAAGTAAAACGCTGCAGAGTGAAGGGAACGGTAAGTTGACCAATTTAAAATACTCCTGCATCACCCGCCACCTACAACCCGTCCAGAAATACCACCAATAGTCAAATAACTATCGACAGAAACCAACCCTCTGACAAAAGAAGAGCCTTGAAGACCATAAATTTACCGAAGACCATGGAAGGAGCATAACCAGATGGAATCCTGTTCCTCCCAGAAACAGTGGAAATAGGTTCAGAGACCTCAGCGGACATGCTGACGCCACTACTGCAGAAGGTTTGACAGGAAGGAAAGGTACCTTTTGATCGAAAGAAGGACAATTGAGGTTTTTGTGAGGACTAGAGCAACATCTTGCTCCTGATTACTCCAAGCAAAATATTCAGCCTCATCATCCTGCGGAGGTTGCACTGAAGATCTCCCTTCCACATCCCCGAAATAGTCTGGATCCAGGGAAGATCATTCATGCACAGATCAAATTATATTATTACGCATCGCCATCGAACAGAGCCTAGAATGGCGGTCAGCTATTTACCTCAACTTCATTGTTTTTGAAAGACTTTCGGTTCCATTGGTGATGAAGTTATCAGAAGGCATCATCAACTCTGCGGAGTGCCGAAACTACTTTGCTATATCACGTGGTTTGTATTTCCGCTGTTTATGGATTTTGAACTCTCATTTGTTGGTGACACTTCTTACTTGTGAGTAAGTTTATTGTTTGTTATGGGAATTTAGAAGCTGTATATTCAGCATCACACTAGAGTGCTTGACAGTTATTTGAGAGAGTAAGACTGGTCCATCTTCCCTCTTCTTTTCGTGTGTCGGGTGGTGTGGATGCTTTTGTTGTGGTTGATGTTGCTTTTGACGAATGGAGTAGTTTCTGTTTCTGCTTAGGTTCATATATCTCTCAGCATAGTAGTAGGTATTATCGGTCATATCCAAAAGAGTCAACACCCTTGCCATTTACCTTAAGGTCAGGAGTTCTCTTGTCAGCTTCATTGTCTTTGAAGAGGCCTTCAGTTGCCTCTACCTCAAAGTAATATAGCAAGTGCTTCAACACAATTGAATGCTCCAAGCAGTGATAGACATCATTCTACGGCTATATTACGGTACTGCATGTCATGTAATCTACAACAAATAGCTCACTGAAGCGTCCGAGGTGAAGACAAAACTACTTACCATCACTGTTGATGTCCCTGGTTGTTGTGAACTGTACCGTATCGCCAACCGTTAAGGGTGAGCAGGCGAACATACGTTTTACGACAAAAAGACTTAAGGATATTGATTTCGTAGGCGATCTATGTCTAATGTCTCACACTCAAAGATTTCCAAGCGGAAACTGACAAGTTGGCAGAAGAAGTAAAGAAGAAAGTTCTTCTAGTTAACATAGAAACGAGGAAGTGATGAAGATGTCCAACAGACAACAACAAATACCACTCACCATTATTTGGAGAAATCCAGATGAAGTTGTCTTTTGTATTCAGTCGAATAGGCAGCACATTTGAGGATGTCAGAGGCATAATCAGGAAAGCGACACAGATGTTTATAACTCTGAAATCACTGCGGAAACCTGCATAGTAGAACAGGATCCGGATCTTCAACACTAATGTCAAATCAGTGCTTTGGTTCAGAGACATGGGTGTAAAAAGTTTTCCATTTTTACTAAGCAGAGGCGTTCCACTGTTGATGACATACATTTACTCATTTCCTCCTCCACATTCATGTCTCCGTTCTTTCGGAATTCTACTTTTCACTTCATTTTGTATGTTCCAATCTTGCTGTCCTAAACTAATGTATTCCCGTACGGAAATCTGCATTAGAGAAAATTATGGAGAGTATCATCTTTTGCATCAGTCGCTTCGTTAATTTGAATACATATATCATGAGAAAGTAACTGTACTTGTTGCGCGACTGAGTTTCAAAATAGAACTCAACAAAGAAGTACAGCGGTTCAAGTTGCCACATTCCATGTAGCACACAAAGAAGGACAAAGGAGAGAAAAAATGGGTTCGGAAATACTGCGATGAACAGAAATGTGAGGGAGAAAGAACAGAGTTTAATGGATATGGGAGGTTGCAAAAAGTGAATGCATCTGCGCCATTGAGAACAATCTTGGTGTATATCACCGATTATCTCCAATCATTGGTTTACAGCATCCTGAAGACTCCGGCTAGAAAGCCTACACCTCGGTATGTTGCTCCTACTATTTGTCAAAGATTTCATGGACTGATTCCAAGTTTTGGTTTGACCACCACTAGCTGGCCTTTTTCCAACCTGATCCTATGTCAGCTAACACTGTCCATCGAAGAAGGCGATGGCTAGGCATGCGTTACACGTGTCCTAACCATATCAGTCGGTGTAGTTTCAGAACTTCATCGATTGATTTCCCGTCTTTATCTAACACTCAACGCCTAACCGTAGTATTACTGACGCTATTATACCACCTAACACGGGAGATAGAACGCAGGCACCTATGGTCAAAGATAGCTAGGCTTTTTATATCATCCACTTTCAGTGGCCATGTATCACAGTCATGAAAGAGGACGGGACGAACTGCTGAGCTGTCCACATGTTCTTTGATCGACAGTCGAATATCACGCCTGCTCCAGAGATGGCATAAGTTGGCGAATGCCATACGAGCCTTTCGTATCTGAGCTGAGATTTTGTCAAAAATCAGTCGACTAGGGCTGCTGCAGCTTCCCAGATAAGTGAAGTAGTCAGCACGGTCTACCATGTCGCTCCCTGTCTTTAAGCTAGTAGTCGGTGTGGTCCTGTCTTGCAACCTCATCTTTTATTTGACAGGAGAGAATTGCATGCCAAAAATTCCAGGATTTCTGCTCAGAAGACTGCATTTTATCAAAGTCCTCACTCTAGAAGAAAAATATAATCCACATAATCTAAGTAAACGAAAATGTCCCGTGGTAACAAGTCAATCCCATTAGTATATCTATGATGAAATTAAACAGAGGTTGGGACGGTTGACATCCCTGACGGAAACCACTAGTTGTCATTACATTAGATGATAACTCTCCGTAAGCTCCTACACTACCCCAAGAGTTAGACTTATTGCGTGCCTATGTGCGACTATTGTCTATATGTTAATGTTAAGTAGTTTCATTCTTACTTAGCTTTTTACAATACCCTAAATAATACTACTCTATTTGCCAATTTGTATTATTACTTGTGCTTTTTAGGTTCGCGAAATTCTCTTGAAAAATACAATGTCTAGCGGTGTAAAAGCCGTTAGACCAATCTTGTCGAGAAATCATGCAGAAGCTCGAAGACGTGTCATCAGTTTATATCGTGCTTGGTATAGACAGTTACCATTTATACCAAAGGAATATGCTCAGACGAATGCAAATATTACAGTACCGATTCTGCGTGAGAGATTAAGAAAAGAGTTTAATAAAAATAAGGATATCAAAGATCTACGTGTAATTGATTTATTAATCCATAAAGTATGTACAAAATAATTCATGTAATTATCTTGTGTATTTTTAGTGGCAGAATGAACTTATTGAAGTGGCACATATTTGGAAGTCGGATACACATGTGATGGATTATTTCAGAGAAGATAACCTCCCAGAAAAACCTAAAGATTTCTTGGACAGATTTTTAAGTGGGAAATCATAGTCATTATAAATGCTTGTTAACTGTAGATTTGTGAATTTGTAGTTTAAAATACTGATTTTTGTTTTACACTGTTAATTTGTTTCGAAAAAACGCAAATAATGCATAATTTGCATGACAATTCTTGTCTAAATGAAGTTAAACTACACAAATTAGTGTATAGTAAAAACTAAAGGTTGTGACTATTTGATGAAACCGTTAAATGATAATGTTCACTTACTGGGGTTCGAAAAACGTGGCAGCTTCACTATCCAACTCTCATTCTAACACATCAGTAAGACTTGTTGAAAGACGAAGTACTTTTACAAGATCAACATAAGCCTGTATACATGATTCTTCGTAGTCGAACTGTTGGAAGTAGCCACGAAGTGTATGCGAATAGTTGTGTGCTCGTTGATATGTGACATGACGTTTATGATAGTTTGTCATGCCAATCTGGCTTACTACTCGTAATATTTAGATATGAATCTGTCAAAGGTCATGTTTACAAATCCGCGGTGCATACAGTGCTATTATCCCTGGAAAATTTGGCTTGTCTGAAGCAAGATCGTTCGATAACTCTGTTTAATGGTCGTTTGCTTATTATCTTTCGCGACACTAAACATGACTCTGATATTTGACAGTGCACGTCTAGATAAAGTAGAGGTTGCCTCAATGAAATGAGAACACAGGCCTATGTACCAGTTTTCTTAATGCTATACTGAATATACTAGCCCTATAACTGGGCGCAAAAAGTGTAGAAGTAGTCAATCTATAACGTGATGCCCTTAATTAAAGGTCAGTTGTATTACGTTAACATTCCGACCTCCTGGACAGAATTCAAATGACCATGCTACTCAGCAGCTCGAGACGCCATACAGAGGCTTTTAGAGTTCAGACCAATGGCAGTCATGACGAAGACACCTTGTTTATTTTACTATAAGGAAGCGGTGGTGTTAATATAGTTAGAATACCTGTCTAGTCGTTTGTTGTGTTCTCTTCCTCACACTAAATTGTGCTGTCCGCGTTCTGGTCCTCATGATGCAGGAAATCTGTATTTAAATGAAAACAACTTTGGGAGTTGAATCCTATGAAAATATCTTGTTCAAAACTACCACCTTATTTAATAGGGGAGATTTAGTCTATGAGCGGACTAATAAAAGCTGTAAAATGGTAAGCCATATTTCTGATACTAGATCATAGTATCAAAATTATGTGATTCACTGGTTTCATATGCAATATGCTGTTAGTTGTAGAGAAAAATAACATCGATGTGTCTTGCGATTTTCCTAAATCTTTAAATATTCCCATTTATAATATTAGAACAAGACATATAAGCGAACAATATTGTTTTCAATTAGATCTTCTTCAGGCTTTACTCTAATTTACATAGACTTATATATATAAAATTTTTTTAACCAATGACGGTGATTTAGTGGATCAAATAATAATAGTAACGGACTTATACTGCCGCCACCCTCTGTTTGGCATTTTCCAGCCGGCCAATTTTGATTGCTCAAGTGAAAGATAAGTTACCTAGTTGTGCCACTTCCATGTGTATCTATAAATTTAGTTGCTCCTGTGGAGAAAGCTATATAGGCCAAACAACTAGACAGCTTAACAAACGCATTAATGAGCATCTTCCTTCATGGTTCGGAAAAGGTCAAATAAAGTCCATACGAAGTTCTATTTTGGCTCATTTGATTGATAGTGGTCACCAAGTGGACAAAAATAGTGCTTTCAAAGTTATTTACCGCATTCCATCAAGTCTTTCGAACGGAATCAGAACCCGTCTTTTACACTTAGCTGAAGCTATGGGAATTCGAGAGAACAATCCTAGTCTTTGTATACAAAAGAAATTTGTTCTACCTTTGTCTCTCCCTTGGCCTAGGTGAATTCTATTCAAAACCCTCCCACCCTTTCTTATCATCCCTCTCCTTCGTACTTTTATGATATTTATTTAAACTCTGATTATCGTTCCATTTGATTTGACCTAATTTATTTATTTATTGAATTGTCTACATATATGCATATACTAACTTTGTTATTCTTATCACCTATATAAGCCTTATTAACAATATTTTGTTATTATTATAATCATCGCTATTAACTTCGTTCAAAACATTTACCACATTATTATTACTATTATTATTATTATGATTACTATTATTATTTGATCCACTAAATCACCGTCATTGGTTAAAATTTTATATATATAAGTCTATGTAAATTAGAGTAAAGCCTGAAGATCTAATTTTCCTAAATGTTATTATAACCCAAGACATTTTCAAAAAATGGGGAATTAAGCGGTGAGTACGATGTAACCGGAGTTTAACAAAGCAATATTACTTTTGCACGTGCTTAGGTGTGCTAGAGAGCACCGTACTTAACCGAAGTTAAAGACAATAAATATAAAGGCCAAAAGCCATCACATGACTGGGGCGATTCTCAATCACTGGCAACCTTCTCTAGACGGGAAGATTGTTCTAAGTGATATGTACCCACATTATGTGTTTTGTTTTTGACAGTCTATTATATTTTCCTATGTGTATATGGATCGATATTCCATCATAACTGACAGTATGCTTTTGTCTGTCCACTAACTAAATAAACATGTGTGACCTTGTTATCATATGACATTACAGCCAATTATGGTAAGATGACTGTCTTATTGGTTCATGTGTATTAGGCATTTTTATATCTACTTTTGTATTAGACACTTGTTTATATATTCTGGTTCTCACACTTTTTCGTACATCTAAGTACCCTTTCACACACACTTGTGTGACATTTATTTTCCTTGTCTGGAAAATACAAGTATCATCGTAAACCTCGTGGTCTTCTGATTTCCCTCTTTCCGCCTCAGGACTATTAACTACTCGACGAGTACATAACATAACTGGCGACGGGGAAAACTCTAATAACTCACTCAGCAGCAGTACATAACACTAAGATAAAAATTTCACCTGAGTTTTCTGATGTCCTAGTAGGTGACTAGATTTCAATGTCTTCAAGTAGTCATTAACTTCACCAGAAGAGTACTAATAGCTGCCTTAACTCGGTTGTGTCCCCACAGAAGTAAATGAGCGGATGTCTACTATGTAGTAAGGAATTAGTAGGTTTTAGTAAACTTTATTTTAGGACAAGATCGTCGTTTTTATTTGAAACATTTCAGTCTGTTCCCAATCGTTACACAGAAATAAAAACATGCAATTTAGTGATCTCTTTTCGACGAATTCATTCATTTGACTGTATGACTGCAATTATAAATGCATACTTTCGTAAATGTGACAAAGGGAGTGGAGATTAGTAAGTTTATTAATAATCTCCATCCAGACACTAATGAAAAACAAAACGCATAGCTCAGTGTTAATAATTCCCATATCAAAAATGCAAAACGTAATAACAAAATATTGATATCAGTTGTGCCTGTTATTAAATCGTAGGGAGGAGTTGGTGAAGTCTTTTCACCACATAAATTAAAATTTCCTATATGCATGAATAAGGCTTTAGCAAATGCGGAGAATACAGAAACATACCGTTTTCGCGGGATTTCTTTAGACTGTGTGGGTAACTTTGGATAGATTTTCCATAGATATCGAATGTGACAAGTTTCAGCACTCCAAATTGACCTATTATGACTCATGCAGACCATACACGTATTGAATAACCTGTGTATCTCGCCCCACCGAAGCAAGTGAATTGGTAGAAACAGAGGTGTTTAAATATGCAAGTTTGTTTCAAGTTATTGGAGAACATTATGCAGCAGGAGGATACCAATTCTTAGATGCGAAGAACCTTCTTTTTAAAGCGTGTGTTATCTCCTTAAGGAAGTTCCCAATTGTTGTAGTGTGTAAGTCAGACGATATCATCATATGCATTGATAGTGATTCACTTTCGGTAGAAGCTCAGGCAACCTCTGTATTAGTAATACTATCACGAATTGTAGTCTTAATAGGCTATTTTAACGTTATGCCCACTTTCTAACTGCGCAATTCGCATAAGGTGTCAATGTGCTGATATCAGTGACCACGCAGAGAGTCATGTTCACTGTGTCTTGTAAGGCCTACCAGATCCACAAACCAAGTTGACGAGGAAAAGCTCCGCCCGGTTACTCTGCACCTTAGCAGGGTAACAACACAAAACGACTGTTCTTGAGATCCTTGTAGATTAATAAAATTCCACCTTTAGTGCAACGCCCACAGAGTCCCCGAATGGGTACGTATGAAATGTGCTTTTCCAGCTGACAGAGAATTATCTACTATGCATCACTATAATTTTGTGGGCTCTTAGCAACCCTGAGGTGCTGTGCGTACACTAGTAAGTCTACCTGGTAACGGCTAAAACAGAGCTACATAAGTTCTGTCCAGAACAAGTGGACGTTCCGTAATGGAGCATGTGGTACAACCCGTCACTATCGACGTCATGAACTGTAGTATAAACGATATATATAGTGGATAGCTAAAGTTGTTTTTGTCGCAGTTTCATTTAAATCTGACCTCTGTGTCTACTTAGTGTGGGGAATATTTCTGAGTGGTCAGTAAGTAGTCTGGAGAAGCATTGTAGTCACGATAGACAGAAACTAACAAAAACAATAACACTCCGTCACAACAAAATTTTATTTCACCGAGTTAACAATTAGAAAAGACTATATTATATAGCACAGAAACATGTATAGAAAAAGGTAATTGGAAAAATATGCTACGACATTGAACCGGATTACGAATTTATACAAATGTAACACATTTAATAATTATTGAGTTAAAGAATATTTGATAAAATTACGTAAATCTTCAACAGGATTGTGATAAAATGGGTCACCAAATAAGACTCTAGTTAGTCCGATTAGAATCAATCCAACTAAAACAAAACAAAGGCATGTCTTGAACGACGGTCTATGCATGTACAGAGCATCTGTAACAAAAAAGGAAACTGTATTAGGGTAGAAAAGGAGACGACAAAAAACTGAATTAGTCATAACTAAATTGTCGTAAAAGTATTTTATGATAAGTGTTACTTAATAGACACGGTGTGATAGTATAGATATGGTAATGAACTTGAGATAAACAGAGCATAGTTTAGAACAGAAAAAACAAAACATCAGCGTTACGCAATGTATATACCGAACTTACTTGGTATTACTTAACCTACTTAAATGATTTATGACTTGTATGCGTCTTTCCTATCTTATGAACTAAAATGTGCAAGAATGCCTATTAATTCAAAATACAACAAATTTAATGTGATTTATGGAGAGATAACTTCCATGAGAGTACGCCTGTTTTCCAAAATTCAGTATACTGAGTATCTGAACGTCATATATTCTCGAATGATTCTAAAAAACTTGTTTCTTGATATTGTTCTACATGATTAAAACACACACTAGCTAATGAGATCATCAAGAATGATTTATTGGAGTGGTTTGGGAGACATGAGATCTTTGGACGCTTATGTAGAAAGTTGGTGGCTCAATGATTCCGATTTTTGCATTACTCAGATTTCTTTCTGAACAATATATATATATATATATATATATATATATATATATATATATATATATATATATATATATGAACAATGCAATGACAACATATGGCACAAGATAAAACACATTTAATGATTATTTCGCTAGTATCCGGTCACAGCTGCATGCAACCTCAATAATGGAATTTAACAGTTCTATTATAGTCTTAGCAATTCACTGTGAATTAAATGTTTTCGTGTACGTCATTAAAGTTTTGTAATAAATATGGGATGCATGATATAAGCCTCCACAAACAACGAAGGTATCATCAACATAATTAGTGGATGGTGGCTAGCAGTGGAATCCAGGATGCGCATTTCGTCCTAATTGGGACTCGTCAGCTAGCCACCATCCACCAATTGTATACAAATCAAACCCCCAGACATCGTCGAAGCGTCTGCACAAGAAGCCGACATGTCAACCTGGGACCGAACACTTCGGTCCAATCAATCGACGGGAAAATCAAGAATTCAATTCAATAATCAACATAATTAGTTTACAGTCATTCCCTTGATTGTATATCACTTAGTTTATTGTTCTATCACAGAAATGATTCTGTTGGTAATATCTTAACTGTTTGTGTACAATTATCCCATGCATCACATTTATTATAAAACTTTACTTACTTTTTTTACTTTACTTCGGCTGTCTCCTACGGGAGGATGAGCCGGCTTCATGAACGTCTCGAATCATCGCTGCCCAGGCGCGGCAATTTGTAAGAGAGTTCATGAAGTTTCATGGGAATTTGGTACGAGTGATGTCCCCAGCATCGCTCGGCCTTTTGTTTGAGAGTGCAGCTCTAGCCTTTACACAGCCAAGTGTGACCTACAAGGCAGTAGGAGTGGAGTAAGGAGTCCACTATCCATTGGCAGCCGGTGACCGGAGTTCGGTTCATACGCCTTTTTGAATGGGGCCAGACATCCAGGACATCCAACAAGCCCTTTGTCCATACGTCTGCCGGTGAGCTCCAGTGAGCTTCATACGCCAGTCGTTGGAGGTTTGGAATCAGGGTTTAGCCATCTCCCCTAGACCGTCATCCAATGGACAGTCAACCCGGTGGAGAGCGCCGGGCATCCGCTTTCGCCCTCTCACTTTGGTGAGAAACACCTCCGCCACGTGAAGGCAGTGAGTAGGACTTCCTCAGGAGAGGCTATGTAAGACGCCCGGTCATATGGGAGCATTTCAAGAGGTGTGCGGAGGGGTGGCCAACCCGCAGCGCAAGGCACCCACCCCCGACCATCCCGACCATTATTATAAAACACTAATAACGGATACGAAAACAATACGAATCTGATGGAAGATTCGATTTTCTGTGTATTGCTGTGAAATGCAAGTCGGAAAAAGTATACGAAGTAGATGTTACTTGGATTCCAGTAGTTCTTGTATAATTAACTACGAGTGGGCACCAGTGAAAAGATTGTTTCACAGGGCGAGAATAATACGTTCCAGTGACAAATCGGAGCTGCAGATCAAAGAAAAATGTCTACGATATCCACATGAATTCACCAACAAAGTTGGGAGTAGTGAAAACAAAAGAATTCAGAATAACATAGTGAATAAGAGAAACTTGTATTCATCCACCTAGAAATTTATAGGCGACAACACTGCAGGGATAACGAAAAGATGAATTAAGAAATTGGTGTCTAGGACATTTCTTGTGTACCAAACGGAATGTTCGTTAATTCAGTCAAAAGTCGACAGATACTCTTACTTTGTTACTTCTAAATGTATAAATCAAATTACGCGTAGCTGCCGAAGCAAAGACGTTAGAAAAACAGAAAGAAGGGTCTATCTTCGATTTTCTGAACATACAGCAAAAAGCCTGCAACCAGCAGAAAGTAAATCAATGAACAGCGCAGACACCTGGTTGACACAGGACATCAAGTAGAAGTCTTGAATTCTTTTAAAAAGATAAACAAATAACCAAGTTTAAGTTTTCTGAAGCTCTCAGAAACCCTTGTTACCCGAAGATTAGAACTTAAATTAGGTAGTCAAAAAGAACACGTATTGCTCTTTTTGTACCTTGTTAGTTCATATTTTAACCTCAAATGTAAGTGCTGGTTTTTTTCAATCTTACTTAGTTGCCATCGACGCACAGATTTCGAAAGTGCATGTGCACAAAGAGGATGGACTGGATGACACATCAGATTAACAATTACAAGAAAGGAAATAATAAAATGACAGTGAAAAAGTAACTAATTCCAAACTGACTGAATACATATGGACGATATCTTTTTCTTTAATATACCTCGCAACTTTTTCAACGTTATTAAGTTGGAGGAAAAGCATTGCTGTGCGGTAAGCTCTCCTTTCGATGGACAGACAGATATCTTATCTGCAGCAGGGATAATGCAAGTTAAACAAGTCTTTTGTATTAATGTAGAGATATTGTCACTAACTAGTCTACAACGGCTGGTATGGGTCCCCACACAACTGAAGCGGTTAGCTTGACTTCTTATCTATAAGCACGCAGTTGGTGTGATTAACTCCAAATATTAAATTTACACTCGACAAAAGCTAAATGCATGACAAGCTTATGCTTGGCCAAAGAGTTCAAAGATGTTGGTTTCTTGCCGGTCTTCACATGACAACTTCACTTCACAACTTTGTCGGGGATTAAGGATTCGACTGATCAAATAATGAAACATAATAAAATTTACCAAATACTACGTATTGACTGTGAAGTTAACTATATAGGTCAAACTACTAGATCGGGGCCAGTTAGACTATCAGAACATAAATCTAGCTAGACCTAGAATGATTGATCCTGTTAAATTAAACAACCTAGAAAAAAGCTCGGTCACTGTATTGCATGCAGTCATACAAAAGATTGGGATAGGATAATAGTACTAAGAAGTAATATAATTAGGTGATGAGAGATTCGTCACAGAATCTTTGTTCATCGAATCGATACCAAACTTTTGTAACTGGAATGATGCAACGCCGATACAGGATACATGGAAAGTTGCAATAAAAAAGAGCAAGGAGTAGGAGTATATAAAGCCATCAAAGCCGTGTCATCACAGTGATATGATTACGAGCAATAAGCTATGCTCAAAACGTCATCCAGTTATCAACAATGTTTCACAGTGTTATATCAGATAAACTTACCTAATATGGAATTATGTCCTACTACAGTGGTCAAATTCTCCAGTTACATTAACTAACATGAAAGAACTACATCATCTGTGTTATTTAAAATAAATGAGCTCTTTTAATGTAACGGCTGGATTTAACCAATTAACTCCGGATATGAACTTTGCTTCATATACAACTAAACAGTAATATAAGCCTAAAACTATATGCTTTGTGGCACAGCACGTTAAATACTTCGCGTGATACTAAGCTGCAATAATATAAGCATAGTTCAAGTAGTCAAGCTTACCACAGTCTACACAGGAAGGCAATTAAACCACAGAAGTCTTAAAATGATACGACCACAATATTAAACAAATCAGATAGTAATGCTCTGAGATACCGAGAAACAACACTTAAAAAAAACTGGTGAAAAGCTGACGAGTGACTAGAAACCACACATGATAGGTCGAATGGGGAACAGAAGGGAAGACCCTTACATCTCTCGCACAGTATGAAATACTGAACATCAATGTTTTGTAACAGCGCCTTATTTTGACGGTACTTTTTATTGTTTTGGTTACGGCGAAATAAGCCAATGTTTTGTTTGTTCTTATTAATATCGAAAGATTTAGTGGTAGTTCACGTAAATGCACTTCGATTTCAAACGACGGGCATTAATACGAAAAAAGAGTGTACAAATACATGAGAATAAGACTTGGAACGAGACGATAAGTAGTTTACACACGTACTAATGAATGTTTCTGTACAATATCATCTCCAAAGTCATTCGAAACCTAGTTGGAGAATTTAAGTTTTTAAAACTGTTAGTCATTAAATTCGTTAGTTAGCCAAGCGTTAATAAGCCGCATAAACTGTGTATATTGTCTACAATGATGACCAATTTTCAAGAAAAGATAAGGTGTTATATAAATAATAAAACTCATCTATTTGGAAAATTACTTACTTGTTAATGTGGAAAAGAAGGAATAAAAAGACTCGAAGAAAACGGATATTAGACCAATGGTAACATATAAGACAGACTTCAGGATATTGGAATGCACGCATGCTTTTGAACTTTGAAAGCTTGAATGTTTATGAAAGGGTTCGACACGGCTTTTTATTGGCGATGGGGAAACTCCTGATAACCAATTTACATCAGAGTATGGATTGTCTATTCCTGGCCGGTCTGGATGTATTGATCGACGACGATAGCTGGGTAGTCGAGAAACATATTCTATAACTGGAGATGACTGTTTTTGTGCTGGTAGGCCATTCATAAAACTTGAAGGAAATTCTTTAGTAGGGGAGGATCTAAAAGTAAAGGATGTTTAAGATAATATGAAGTGCACGATTAAGTTGAGTGAACTACATATATTCGTTTAATATTTCTTAAAAATGTGTATAGAACAGGAACAATATTCTAGTGGAGTTATCACGATTTAAAAAAATGTACCGGTTGCACTATTTTTGTTCATGATCAACATGTAAAGTGCACAATTACATATTACAATCTGTACTGTTTTAGCAGTGGACGGCTATTAATCTGATAATTCAGATTTACATCCACTGTGGAGCTCAGGTTATTTCACTGGAACTAGCAGCTAAACTACAGTACGAAAAGCAGCTCTGAGTTCAGTTTCGGGTGTATTTATTTCTTCTACTTTTGATTGCAGCTTGGTGCCACATCGTATTTTCTGGTACAGGTAGGGAATTTTCAACATGTGATATCGGTAGCCCAAATTTTGCAAGCCAACCATAGATATCAGGTGTGCGTCGGCAGGGGATCAAACCCTGGATCATTTGTATGATCGGCGAGAGTCCTAACCACTGTGTAGTGCCAAAATGGTGGGTTGTGTACGAAAAGATATGCAGTGCAGCAGGTCTGGGGAGTTTACCCTCACCACACAGCTGCACTTTACAGAATGAAGTGATGAGTTGTTCATATGGGTTTTGTTGAAACTGAATTGTGATATACAACAGTTTTTACATTATTGTCATCTCGCTTTCTGACTACGCCGGATGACTGGCTGGTCGAAGAACTAACTCTGATCACAACAACTCGATGATCTTAACACACCATATACTGCAAAATGAATATAACCAACCTCATACGCCTCCCCTTGGAGTTTGCAAAAGCTACACTAGGTGACTGGCGGAACTACGCAGCGATTCATCGAAGATCAGGAACCGTTATTTCATCGCCAAGTTAACAGGTCACAGTAAAGAATTAAGGGGTTAAAGTACAGCGACCCAAGGGAAGAATCAACTCAACGGCTTTGAACAACCGATCAGATTAGCGTCATTGTATAAAGGCGAAAGCATGCGGCGGTATTCATTTGCAAAGCTCATCCTGACGTCATAATTTAATACACTCGGCATAATAGGCTTTTCGGAAAACCGGCAAATGCCAATTCGGAGGGGTTTTGATTCTTTCTGATCCATTGAATCAGACGTACATTGATAACGTACGATTATTGGGACATTTGAAAAATAGAATTCGAGCCGTGATGCATCACAAAATGATACGAGTCACACTTATCTCAATGAACTCATATACAGAAATTGTTTTACACTAACAATGAGAACTTCAATGATGAACTGGAAGAGATTTCTGGAGTTTATAGGGAATCGTCATCACGCAGAATTATTTCTTACTAGTTACTTTGTTTTCTATAAAATTTTCTATCAAAAAAACACCCTTTTACTCATGAGTTGCTTAGGGTCACTTGCTTGGTTATACATCAGTCTAGCCCAATTTGGTTTATGCTAGGTAGTGAAAATGTTAGATAATAACCACCGTGTTACTAGTCATATAAACTTGGGGTATGCACTAAGTCCATATGCACGTGACATCATAGCCACCTCAGTCAATAAAAGTTCAACTACTATTTCGCTAACCTGATGACTGTATTAAAATCTATCTTTATATCAGGTTAGAACTATGATGCGAATCGCTAACAACGAATAAGCCCTCTGGCCTGAAAATACAATGGATTCTCAAAAGAATGCAAAGAGCATGCTAACTAGAAGATACCATTTGGGCCACAATATAATTTTCCCAAGTTAGCTGAGTAAATTTCATGTACCTATCTGTTTAGAAATACGCGATCGTCAATGATCACATGGACCAAATGTAACAGCAAGTGAAGCTGGTTCTATTCAAACTTCAACAGAGCTACGAATTAAAATACTGATCAAAAGATAGACAATATACACACTACTTAGGGGTTATTGAAAACAGACTAAGAAAACAACTTACTTATCCTGCACCGTCGTGACGTACTTTGGTGACTCACGACCATCCTGTATAGGCCTTAAGATAAGATTTAGCACCAAAAGTGTACCAACCTGCTTTCTTCTTTCTCCAGTGACCCGTTCATGTGGTTTTCTATGGCGTTTTCCTGTGCATGCACAGGAGCTTCATGCACAGCTTCACTCCCATTGGCCACGCATTTCTTCAGTTTCGCTACTAAAGTTGCTCGAGTTGATTCTGGGTTAAATAAATAAGATGATGACAAATTACCCGTCACTGGAGGTACAACATCCATATATCTGGACAAAGCTAATCTGAGTTCATCGTCATTCATATCCATTTTCCCGTATCCAATCACGAAGATGACCTTCAAATTTGAAAGAAGACCAGATGACCATTTAAACAGCTTCTGAAGAAAATTTTAGAGAATGAGTTCACTGATCTTAATACAACCACTGATATGATTCTGTGCATTTTGTCACTTTTCGACCATTTTATTCTTGGCATCAGGAAAAGAGAGCCTATTATAATTTACCCGGCTTTAGTAAACCAAAAAGTCAAGTTAGTCCCAACAGTTTGTTTCTCCATTAATATTCGGCTTTTCCCAAAGAAAATTATTTGCCTGGTGTGCTGTCATTTATTGACGCTATAGATCAACCTGTTCGAAAACGCTTCCTACAGATATGTTAAGTGCAACATGTTTAAATATTGAGTAGTTCACGGCGTAAATCAGACTGCATAAAGTTCCTTGAAAACTGTTGTGACTGCCTGGATATATCTCATCGAATCATGTGATATGAAGTCCACCACTAAATAAATAAGATATAAGGATTATATAAACAATGGGTTCTGAATATCTTTCTGACCATATTTTCTGCAGGATACTTTGAAATATGCTGGGGAAAATATACTCTGACTAAGCTACTATGCATTATTCTATCTGTCCGTTGGGTTCTGAGAGGAAAATTTGGTCTCATCAACACGCCTCCACTGTTCTAAGTTCTGTACCGTCTTCCGTAGCTGCTTGATGACTGTCAACAAACCTTTTCCCTACCACACGACGTTCGACACCATGTGTCCAAACGCCCAAGCCAATAATCCCCCTTAAAATTTTGCTCGACGTTCCAGCGTGCGATGTCGGGTAGGTGATTAAAAAGTACGAAAGAACGGGATGAGCGACCGGGTGCTTATTATACCTCCTTTATAACCTACGAGAAAACGTGTACAATCATTATTCAAGACACCTAAAACACACTGCAAGTCTCCTGTCCTGAGGAGAAGAGGAAAGAACTATTTACTAACCGCCTTCAAGAAAAATGGAAAACCCTAGACCTTGATCGAAGCTGTTGAAACTCAAATCAAATCTTCAGAAACAACAAGGAAAAGCGGCAAAGTTAAACTTTAGACACCACTAACAACCAATCAGCAAACGACTTTGAACGGACCAGTCACATTAAAGAGGCATATATGATGAATGGAAATGTATATTTGTAGAAAAAAGCATAAAATTGATAATAAAAAAGGTTACATGGGGTATCTTTCTCGAACATGTGAGAGAAACATCTCCCAGTTTAGCATGGGACTACCAATGGAGGAGTTACACCATATCCTGTACATATATTCATCCAAATGACTATAAATGAGATCCTTTTGAGATACATTTATAGCCCTTATCCTGTTTCTCAACCTGCCCCAAAATCCTTCAATATAATTTGTATGTGTCCTCGTAACAGGACCACAAAATCACTTGAATGCTTGACTGTATGATGAATATATCCCAAAGATGACAGTGAATTGTAGCCTTTCCACTCGTCGGTGTGTATAATTGACCTCCGCTTAACAAGTCTGGTAATAATAGGTATGAGAGTAGTTGCTTTTCTATCTGCTATCCTTAGGGAGAGAAGCGACCTAGCGAAAAAAGTTCCTACGAAATATTAAAATTATCAGCTTACTCTCTCTAGCGTTAGTAGGCTTCAAGCATATAGCACAACGATGAACAAACCCATCAGTTGATTTGGCATAGCTTTTCAAAGTCACGATACCACCACACAAACAAATTCGCTATTTCCGGCGCAACTCAAATCCAGGAAATACTGGAAAACGCTAACCTCCTCGAATTGCAACAATAGCTTTGTAAGGTCACGCATTAGAAATGAATCAAGCGCTATACAACATTGAACTGCGTTCGTGAACCTCATTGGATAATTCGGCATCGTCGTGAATCTCATTGGATAATTCGCTGATTGGTAGTTAGTGGTGCCGAAAGTTTAACTTCGCCGGAAAAGCATCCTACTGTGTATGAATACTATTTCCGAGGTGACTCCTGGAAAGCTAACCCCACTTGAAATAGACAGGTAGCAAAAACCAACAAACAAATACCCAGCAGCGAAAGAAAGTTAGGTAAACAGCATCTCCAAATCAACTGTATGAACAGTAATAAGCACTATATTTACCAAAGTGGGTTTCTCCTTTGACTCGGAATCCAAAAACATAAACTTAATTTCAAAAGATAAGAAATGTATTAGTAATAATAATAATAAGCTGTAGTCAAAAATAAAAGAATAAATAAAATAAATTTATTTTACTTTATTCTAAAAACAGTACTTATAATACAGAATGGAATTCTCAGCATCCGTCACAATATTGCATCTGATTTACTAAAAATATAAATAAAATCAAAAATTAAAACAAAAGTAACCGGAGGAAATTTCCACGCTTATGACATAAAGTCAAATATATTCTAAACAGGAATTGACATCATTAAATATCAATAATAATAACAGTGAGTTTGCTCCAAACAGTATTGTCGATTCAGTTTGGAAACTTTAGCGTGTTACTATAGAGTATTGAATCTAATGTTCTGTTGATATAGCAGTATGGTGAGGGGAAATACAAAATTAACAGTTATAACACAGCTTAAATTATGTTCACACTTATGAAAAGTAAATAAATAAAAACAAAAAATTGAGAGGATTATGAATATAAGAAATACAATAATAATAACAATATTTGGTACTCTAGGGGTGGAAGAAACGGTTTATTTAGTAGTGCAAAGAAGGTTAGTTAGTTCATGTCTGACACTATTTTCATCGCATAAAGTACGTGCTAAATATGGTATAGTGGAATTTTTATACTTAGACGTACGTACATAAAGTCTTCTAAAAAGACTTCTTGTTTTATTTGAGGAGACACAAGGTTGGAGCAGCACGTAGGGTGGGTGCTCACAGTCTGACAAAATCCTTTGAGCAAATTTATTCCATGATATCAAGTGCCTATCAGTGACAGTGTCAACGATATGGCCTAACGGGATACCACTCATCCTGCTGACAGTCTTCAGAGTTCTACGAAGTATGACATAGTCTTTTTTAAGCAATCCAGGGAAGAATAAGGATGAACAGTAAAGAAGAATAGGTAAGGTGAAAGAGTTGACAAACTTTAAGAGGAGAAATTGGTTGAGTTATGCCCGAGTGCCTTAACCTCTTACTGTAAAAAGTCAGACGAAATATTCTTTTAGAAACCGCTAAGACATGGGAAGACCAGGATAGGTCAGAAGAAAGAATTAATCCAAGATACTTAACTTCAGACTTGATTTCTATATCAGTATCACCAATTTTGCAAGGGTCATAGGAACAAACAGCTTCATCTTACTTTCGTTTACATCGGGAACTGAAATTAACAGTCTGACATTTGGAAGGATTTAGTTTAAGGCCGTTAGACGAAAACCATTTGCTAATTCCTGATAGAAAGCTGTTCATCTTAGCACAGTCAAGCTGGGAGTTAACAGACACTGAAATAGTTAGATCGTCCGCATACTTAACAAAGTTCATTTCATATGAATGAGGCAAGTCATGCAGGAAGAAAGAAAACAGAAAAGGAGAAAGGACAGCACCTTGAGGAACACCAGCCTCAGTAAGCAACGAAATAGACGACTTTCCCTGACATACAGTGTACTGCTTTCTTCCTGAGAAATAAGAATGGAGCCATTCGACAACCCAACAGTCAGTTTGAATTTCGGCAAACTTGCTTAACAAAATGTCCCTAGGTACTGAGTTAAAAGCAGATGTGTAATCTAGGAAGGTGCAGCGAACAAATTTAGCCCCCTTGTCTAAGCTGGAGACAATGTTATGATACAAGACTGCAACTACATCTAAAGTACTTCTGCTGTGTTTATAAGCGAATTGTTTAGGATCGTTAAAGGCTTTAAGTGAAGGTTGAAGTTAAGTAAGAGTAACTTTTCCATAGCTTTTAGAAAAGGAGACGTAATAGTAATAGGTCTAAATTTAAAACATGTTACAGTAGACGACTTAGGGATAGGTACAACTTTGATGTCCTTCCAAACGGCTGACACGATATTCCTGGAAAGAGTTTCGTTAAATATGTCCATAAGGGGATAACACAGGATGTCTGCACGTTTTTTAACAATAACTCTAGGCAAACAGTCTGGGCCCATGCTACAAGAAGGGTTCAGAGACTGGAGACATTTTTGAACATCATTTGTATTGAAACCAGGGAAGCAGGTTTCATTAACACTTGTAACACTAGAAAGTTTGGCATTTGTGGGAGAATGTATCAAAGACTTGTTTAATGTGCAAACATTAAGGGAATAAGGAATACTGTTCGTCTGCTTACCGCCAGTAATTTCTTTGAAAGTTTCCATATATTAGGCGCATTTTTACAGGATATAAACTTTTGGTTGTAAATTGAGTTCAACCTGCGCGTTTCAGATTCTAATAGGGGATTAATTCTTTTTAAACCGGCATTGTCCCTCATTTTATATAGCCTTTCTTCATGTCTGCGAAGCATTTTAAGTTGAGGGGAGGAGAAACGGTCAAATCTGATGAAGAGCGTTTCTCTGGGACAACAGGTGTCAAGACAAAATTTGAGATAACTTGTAATATTAGAGATTGTGTCATCAAGAGAATCTTCATTAAACAGGTCCCACCTTGTGTCTTTGAGCATGTCCCTAAGATTCTGAACATTCTCCAAAGAGTAGCACACATGTACAGTTTTCTTAGAGAGGTGTGAAAAAGTTCTCTTGTGTAACTTTCCATAAATTTTTAGGTAAAACCCGTACAATACAATGCTCTGAGTTAAAGAGTGGGGCTGTCTTACGAGCATCGTATATTCCACGGTAATTTATATATACAAGATCAAGGGAGTTATCCAGTCTGGTGGGAAATTTGACGTCATTTTCATGATCTAGCACTGAATTAAAATCGCCTGTGACTGTGGACAATGAGTTTCCAAAAGAGGAGGCAGCAAAAATAGGGAATTCATCAGTAAACATAGACAGTTCTGAAGTGCTACAGCAAGGTGTGACATAGGTGTTTGTGATATAAATAAATTTGTATTTAGATAAGTGTTTGGGTCAACATTTGACAGTTATACAGTCAATATTATCATTTGAGAATTTAAAACAGACGTTGGCGACAGACCACTGAGAACTGATAAAAGTAGCAGCAGCACCAC